ACATCGGTGGGCGGAGCCTGGGGGAGAAGGTCAAGGACAAGATCTACTGCTCCAACCGGCGCGCGTGGAAGCTCCTGACCACGTACGTCCCCGTCATCAAGTTCCTCCGCTACTACAAACTCCGAGAGTACGCGGTCTCTGACGTCATGGCCGGGCTCACAGTTGGCATCCTGCACATCCCACAAGCTCTGGCCTTTGGTCAGTTGACCTCGGTCAAGGTCGAGAACGGCCTCTTCACCTCCCTCTGGCCCGTCCTTCTCTACGTCTTCTTCGGCACTTCCGCCCACGTGTCCATGGGAACCAGCGCGGTCATCTGCATCCTGACGGCGGCCACAGTGGACAGGGAAGGGCTGGCGTGGGCGGCTGACAGACCCTGGATCTTGAACCAAACTGGCAACGGGACGAGTCTTGACGAGGTACCGGAGTACCTGGACTTCAAAGAGGAGCTCGCGATGGGCGTGGCCTTGATCTCGGGGATCATGATGATAGCCATGGGCTTCCTCAAACTGGGCTTCATCACGGCCTATCTGTCAGAGTCTTTCTTCACGGCCTTCACATCCGCCGCGGCGGTGCACATCGGCACAAGTCAGCTGCCCGCCATGTTGGGAATAAAGGTCGATCGTTTCGGGGGCATTTTCAAGATCATTTACAGCTACCAGGCGATCTTTTCCGCCATCGACACGGTCAATGTCGCGGCCATCATCTGCGCCGTGGTCTCTTGTGCCGTCATCTTGTTTGTCAAAGATTGCATCAACGAGAGGTTCAAACACAAACTCCCGGCGCCTATCCCTGTAGAGCTCTTTGTCGTTATCTTCGGCACCATGGCGTCTTATTTCGGCCGGTTCAGCGAGCAGTTTGACGTGGTGGTCGTGGGCACCATCCCAACAGACATCCCGCCCCCTGTCCTTCCAGTCGAAGGTTTGAAATACGCCACCAACTACGTGGTCGATTCCTTCATTCTGGCTATCCTCATTTTCGCCAACACTATCGCCATGGCCAAGATCTGCGCCAAGAAACACAACTACGAAGTAGACGACAGCCAGGAGCTGATCGCCTACGGGATGTGTAACGCCGTCAGCTCCTTCTTCAAATGTTTCCCGTCCAGCGTGGCTCCCCCTCGCTCTATGGTGGCCAGTGGCATGAACGCCAGGACCACGCTCAGCGGAATCTTTTCCTCCATCCTCATGCTTCTCGTCATTCTCTTCATCTCCAAACTGTTCACAGAACTCCCCAAAGCCGTACTCGGCGCCATTATTTTCATCGCTCTCAAAGGCCTCATTATCCAAATCCTGGACGGTAGGAAGTTTTGGCGTATCAATAAATTCGATTTCGTTATCTGGTTTTTCACCTTCTTTTCCACCGTCTTCCTCGATATCGATCTCGGTCTAGGCATTGGCGTCTGCGTGTCTCTAATCACTGTCGTGTTCCAGACTCAGTTTTCTCGTGGTTACAAGATCGGCTGTACCCTCAAAGACCCGGCGCTGGTAGAACACAAGAAATACCTGGACTCCTCAGAGGTACCTGGCGTCAAAATCTTCCGCTTTCAGTCGTCCTTATATTTCGCCAACGCCGAGATCTTCCGGAACACGCTGTACAGGTGCACGGTGAACCCGAGGAAGCTGCTGAAGGGTTTGAAGAAAAGAGAGAAGCGTCTGGTGGACGACAACAAGGAGAGGATCTCCCAAGGACTGCCGCCGGAGCGGCGCCGGAACTCTCTGATGATGGGAGATCTGGGCATGGTCTCCAGGGACAGCAGTTCCAGCCTCAGCAAGGCCGTGTCGGGAACTGACGCCAGGTTCAACAGCGCGGAGCCCGGGAAAACGGAGAAGGTCAGGGACGGGTCATGGCAGCGTTGGTGCTCTTACGCCCTAGTTATAGCTTTGGTCTAGTCCTTCTTTCCTTTTTCAGTTTCTCTGTTTTCACTTTTACTGATACTTATGTTACATTCTATATCTTTGTTTACCTTCTTTGTGCCACTCTCTCTCTCTCTCTCTCTCTCTCTCTCTCTCTTTCTCTCTCTCTCTCTTTCTCTCTCTCTCTCTCTTTCTCTCTCTCTCTCTCTCTTTCTCTCTTTCTCTCTCTCTTTCTCTCTCTCTCCCTCCCACTCGCTCTCTATCTGTTTATAGATATTCCATCTATCTATCTATCTATCTATCTATCTATCTATCTATCTATCTATCTATCTATCGTATGTCCCAATACAAAAGATGCTATTTAAGCAGTCTACTGTATCCGACCTCCATCTATCATTCAACAAATCGTTCCCGGGCTATAAACACCGAGAAAACACAAGCCAATATAACACCGTCGTACAGTTTCCTTACCTACATTTATGACAAACAATTTACTGCTAACATATTCTCAGTGATATAAGTCTAACTATTCAGGAAAGCATTATACGTGTTTAGCCTTTTATATTTCAATTACTAAGTTACGAATTTGAGTCTTAATTTTTTTCCCACTTTAAATTCTTCATTTATAGAGTAAGTCTGATTCCCTGTAAAGACTTCTCTGTTTACATCCACCCCTTGGCGCTCATATGGCCTTATGCAGTTGTGAGCGCCGTAAAACCTCTACTAAAACTAAACTAAACTGTTTCTGGTTTAGAATATAAATATCGTTCATTCATCAAACGTTCCATCAAGATATTTCGCTCCATGTTTTTCCTCCCAGGTCCGGCGAGTGTCTCTGCCCAGCATGGAGCAGTCGATCGACGAGAACAAAGAACTGGCCTCTCACTTCAACGGCAGCTCCGGGGTGGAGGGCAAGTCCTTCACCATGACACAAGACAGATACACCAAGAAAAGCGAGAACGGATTCAACGCCTTCGACCCTCCACGCCGGCGAGAGTCCACCATCTCCATCAACTTTGACGAGTACGAGGAAGATCCAGAGGACGGGGACGAGCTCATCTCAGACGAGAAGCTCCGGAGCATGCGCAAGATCCACCACATCATCCTGGACTGTGTGACCATCAACTACCTGGACGCCTCGGGCGCCAACGTACTGAGCCACATCTACTCTGAGTTCGCTCACGTCAACATCAAGCTCTTCCTGGCCGGCTGTTCTCTGGACATGCGCAGAGCGATGGAGCAGGCCCGGGTGTTTGACAAGATCCCACGTGACCACCTTTTCCTGGACGTTCAGGATGCTCTGGTGGTGGCCAAACCGCTGCGCACCCTGCCCCTGGCCTCGGACGCTTTGGAGGATTTCTCGGACGAGGAGGCGATCGAAGACTCTTACGTCACCAAGATGTGAGTTTATGGGTCATAGATGGCTTGCTATAGAGATGATGGAAGTTTGTGGGGTATAGCTGGCTTGTTATAGAGATTATGTAAGTTTGTGGGTCATAGCTGGCTTGTTATAGAGATGATGTACGTTTGTGGGTCATATGTGACATTTTATAGAGATGATGTAAGCGTGTGTGTTATAATATGTGACATGTTATAGAGATAATGTAAGCGTCTTACTTCTAGCTGGTATGACAGAGATTTTGTTACTGTCTAGGGGAAGTTTAAGCGATCGATCGATTAGACAGATTAAGTGGAATCATTGTACAAGAGAGTTGTTTATAGCTGGTAGGCTATAGAGATGATGTAAGCGTCGTACTTCTAGCTGGTAGGCTATGGAGATGATGTAAGCCTGTTCCTTCTAATTGGTATGACAGACATTAAAGTTCTTGTCTAAAAAAAGTTTATTAAAACAATTGATCAATTAGAAAGACCTAGAAGAATCGTTGTATAAAACAGTTGGTCATAGCTTACATGAAACAGATTTTGTTAATGTCTAGAGAAAGTTGAACAGTCAGAAAGACTGAGTAGAATTGCTACATAACCCTTTTAGTTATAGCTTGCGTGTCAGAGGTTTTATCATTGTCTAGAAAAACTTGAAGATTGATCAATTAGACAGACTGAGTATTATATTATTATATAAGCCTATCGCTTGTAGCTTGCATGCAAGGGGTCTCATCATGATCTAGAGAATTTTTAAAAAATAAAATATTTAATTGATTGGAAAGGCTTAATAGAATCATTGCATAAGCTTGTTCCTTCTAGCTGGCAGGACAGAGATGTTGTTCTTATCTAGAGGAAGCTTAAACAATTTATCGATTAGAAAGACTTAGTAGAATCATTGTATTAGACAGTTGGTTAAAGCTGAAAGATTGATCAGGATAGAGGGGCTGAGTAGAACTATTACATGCGCATATTGTGTATAGCTTGCATGCTTTTAGCAATGTCTAGAGAAAATCTAAACTTAAGAAAGTGAATTATTACTTGAGCCTGTTAGTGAAGCTTGCGTGTCAGAAATTTCATCATTTTCTTGAATAAGCTTAAACAATTGATGCTTCGGAAAGATTTATAGTATTTTCTTTTTTTCTTATAAAAATCTGACCAAAAGTATAGTGGTATTACCACGATATGCTCAGTATCTAGGGAATGTTGAAACTGTGATCTACTGGAAAACTGAAGTGATATTATTATTGCATAATGCTCTTTAGCTTACAACAACAACAACAATAACAACAACAATAAAATCAACGAGCAATACACTGCGGTATCAAATTTAGACATAGATGTAACTGACACAACGACGATAACGACGACAGCTACAACAACAACATCAACAACAACAGTGTAATACAAACAGTTCACCCACTAACATTCCACCTTGACCCTCAATCATTATTTATTTCTAGAGGCACCAGCCATCCATGTCCAGTTGCTGTTTTAGCCCACTAACATTTCAATGTTTTTTTCTTCTTTTCTCTGTGTCATCTTCCAGGTACTGAGTTCCCTGCCCAGAATATTCGCTTCTGGCTCAAGAACTTTGTCCTACCAAACTGACCGACCTGTTGTGTGCTGTGAGGGGTGGGGTGCGGGGTGTGTGGGTGTGAGGGGTGGGTGAGTCCATTCTTCACACTATGCAGGGTGTGTGGGTGTGAGGGGTGGTGTGCGGAGTGTGTGGGTGTGAGGGGTGGTGTGCGGAGTGTGTGGGTGTGAGGGTAGGTCAGTCCATTCTTCACACGGCACACAACTCTAGCCTCCACTTCTGCGACACTACGGTGATGGCATCAAGCGCTTTGCTCGGCTTCTCACGAAAAACTTCTACAATGTTATTATTAGTTTGTTGTTATTATTGTTTGTTATTGTTATTATTATTATTATCATTACTATTATTATTATTACTATTATTATCATTACTATTATTATCATTACATGTATTTTTGTTTTGATTACTACTGTTTTCCATTTTGTCATCGTTATAATCATCATCGTCATCATCACCATCATCATCATCACCATCATCATCATCATCATCATCATCATCATCATCATCATCATCATCATCATCATCATCACCATCATCATCATCATCATCACCATCATCATCATCATCACCATCATCATCATCATCATCATCACCATCACCACCATCATCATCATCACCATCATCATCATCATCATCATCATCATCATCATCATCATCATCATCATCATCATTATCATCATCATCATCATTGTTTGGAAAACAGAGTAGGAGGGAGAGTCTTGTTTGAATTTCAGACAAAATAAAATAACAATAGAAAATGTTTAAATTTGTCTAATAGCTCAACGTATCGCCTCGTGGACCTCCTCAGGAGCAACCATCATCATTATCATCATCATCATCATTATTATCATCATCATCATCATCATCATCATCATCATGATAATCATCATCATCATCATCATCATCATGATAATCATCATCATCCTCATCAGGTCAATTCTTACCAAGATACATAAACAAGCTACATAATTATCATTGCCTCGTTTTCTGTGGTCAAAATAAGGTGGGAGTTTGTGATAAAAATTCACTGTTTATAAAAAATGTTGAAAGAAGTAATGAATTGGTACAGCCATGAAGAAATAGCCGGTAAATAATGGATGTATAACCTGGAGAGAGTATTTGTAGATCAACTCAAGATGGAGATATACTGGGTACGGTTTCTTTTTCATTTTTGTTTTTTGTTGTTTTGGTTTTTAAAAAATATTTTTTTTGTCCGTTGCTATTTTAAAAAAAATCTATTTTTGATTTAAATATCCCCCCCCCCTATATACTTGCCCATGCCACGAGCTCGCGTGTAGGATAGATGGTAAACTCTTATTCTAAAATTGACCTATTTTTGTAGGTTGTACTTAGAATACGGAGGGAATGTCTTACATGCTGAAAAAAAGGGTGTGTGGTTTTTGTTTTTTTGTTGTTGTTGTTTAGTTGTTGTTGTTTTTTTTTTGGGGGGGGGGGTGGGTTAATATGCGTGAAATCACGTACTATTATTAATAATAATAATATTAGACAGCATGTACAGCGCAAATCCACATTCAACTGCAAGCTCTATGCGCTTCACAATCTATAGGCCTACTATTACCCCAGCAGTCCTTAGAGCATTCTGAAACAACCTCAACTTCATGGGAAGCATACAGTGCAAGCGGCCATTTATAGGCGCTAAAACACTAACATACTGATAAGATCTTTCGCTGTCTATGGTCAGGTACCCGTTCCCACCTGGGTGAAGTGAGGAAAATTCGTGTAAAGTGCCTTTCCCAAGGACACAACGTCGGGCCCGCGGCTCGAACTCCCGAACTAGCAACCTCACGATTACGAGTCCTGCGCCATAACCTGGCTGTTTGTCACAAGTATAATGCTGAGAATGTTTTCAAAAATTATTGTTGTTATTTATTATTATTATTATCATTATTATCATTATTACTATAGGCGAGTATTTAAGGTACTGATTCTTTTCCTACCTCCGTGTGTTCCTAGGAATGCGTGTCTGTTTGAATACATATAATGATATTGTGTGTTATAAGAGATTTGAATACATAGACCTATCAGTATGTGTGTTGTGTGAAATTGTGAACACTCATTAATCATGAGGGACTTTTCTTTCAGAAGTAAGAGAGTTCTCTTGGTCAAAATTCACGTCCTGAAAATGTTGAGTTTGGAAGGGATGGAAGAGAAGAGGTGTGTGTGTGTGTGTGTGTGTGTGAGAGAGAGAGAGAGAGAGAGAGAGAGAGAGAGAGAGAGAGAGAGAGGAGGGGTTGGGGAGGGAGGAAAGAGAAAAGGAGAGAGGATATCTCACAGCGAGAAATGACAAATGAACAAGGATAATTGTGGCTCCTCTTGTCTTCCTTTCCCATCATGTCCCTTCTCATCAAAGCTCGGTCTGCCTTGAAATTTGGATAGACAACAACAAAATATAAAAGATTTTAAAAATATAGAAACAATTTTTTAAAAATCAAAATTTAAAAAACAAGAGAAAAAACCTGTTCAACTGTATTTACTGTGGGACAATTAAGGAAGAGGGTACATTCCATCGCTGGTTTTCTGACTGAGCTACACTTTCGCTGCAGCTAACATGCTTGACTGTGTAGTTTCAGGACTAGATAACACTGATCTTGATATGTTTTCGTTCGGTTCTTGTTCTGTTTGGTGACAACTCATGTGAACGCAAATAAATATGTCATGTTGGTATTTGTGTGTGTGTGTGTGTGTGTGTGTGTGTGGAGATATGATTTTGTACTTATATTATGTGAGGCAGCGTGGTGGAATCAGGCTCTCGTCAATTTTTGGGCATGTAGAGTTATTGGAGTCATAGCTTGTTCACTTGTCTTTATTAGGATGAAAAAAACATCCATTTATCTTGAATACAAGTTTAGATATTTGCAAAAGAAGGAGGTACGAGTCACCTGTTTTCAGAGGTAAAATTTGTGAGAAAATGGCCTCCAAAGATTAATTTTTTCCTTAGCTTAAAGGTCAACTCAAAATTTACATTTTTTTATGCATTTAATCAACGTTTTTCAGAAAAATCCACACGGAAATTAGTTTTTTAAATGGAATGAAAGGTGTTGAGCCAAAAAAGAAAAACTTGAGAAAGATTCACAAACCTGAGGAAAAATGCAAGTTTCTTCACTTTGATTATTTTGACGAGAGCCTGATTCCACCAGGCTGCCTCACATATCTGTGTATACACCTTCATCTCCCCGCGACACCCACTGGTACAATCGTAAGAAAAAAGAAAAGTAAAGTCAGTATGTACCTTCATCCTCATCCACTGCCAGATTTACGACAGACATCAGCGATCATGGTTTTCAATTCGTTCCTTTGCTCGGATACTCTTTTAAAAAAAGCTACTTTATCCTGATCTTTCGCCGTCACCCATCAGTTTAGGCTCTCCATGTAGGTTACTCTGGGTCTACCTCTGACTCGTTTGCCCCCAATTTTGCACGTGAGAGCTAGATCTAGATGTACGAGGACTGTATGTCTATTTAAGTGTCCAAGAAATGGCATTATTTGTCTTCTCCTGATTTTTGTATCGCTGAGCAAAGCCGCTGTTCCCAGATCTGTGGGTAGGCTCACACTTGATGTGCGTGAGTACTCGTGGGTTTAGCCCCTGTACATACTCACTCCAGCAATTAGTGGGTGATTGATGGGTGTTCTGGTGTGGTTTGCTTCTTCTTTCCGATCCAACATCTATCATCCCTATTTCTGCTCCTTCTTTTTTGTGTTTGTTACTCTCTTGTGACACCTCTAATCTTCGGCACTTATATAACCTATTGTGCTGCAAGTGCTGTAAAACACTTACTAAAACTAAACTCAAAACTCTAGCAATTGTTCAATACACGAGTTCTTTCACCGACACAGTTTACCTCAATCTGGAGGAATTGTTTCCGTCGCTACCCAGATTCGAACCCGGGACCTTTGAATGAGAGGCGAACACCTTAACCTCTAAGGCCACGGGACCCTCCAGCTCAGTCTCCGCAGACGGATGGCGATACTCGATGTAAGACAAAACTCCCCTACACAAGGATGGGACTCACGTCTCTAGCACACGATGACAGACAATGTAACTGCTCCTCCCCAGTCGCCGGTTACCTGCCTGTGTGTCATGGTGTATGTTGTGACGTCACACTGAGGCAGGAGCCACGAACGACAGGTCGTCTGCACTGAGAGATGAGCTACTTTGGCGCCAGAGTCTGGTGTCATCAGTTACAACAACTGGACCACGCCGGGTGTATTTACGACGTAGTGGAATCAGGTGCTCGTCAATTTTTGGGCTTGTGGAGTTATTGGTATCGTCTTAGAGGGTGTTCATTTGCCTTGCATTTGAAGAAAAAATATCCATTTATCTTGGATAGAAGTCGAGATCTTTGCGATCGAAGGAGGTGGGGTGGCCTGGTAGTATTAGTGAGAAAATGGCCGCCAAAGAAGAGTTATTTCCTTTGCTTAAGAGTCCGTGGGAACAGAAAATTTACATTTTTGTGCCTTTAATCAACGTTTTTCAGTAAAATCCACGCCGAAATAGGTTCTCTAACGGGCAAGAAAGGTGTTGAACACAGAAACGAAAATTAGATAAAAATTCCCAAACCTGTGGAAAAAAAGCCAGTGTCTTCACTTTGATTATTTTGACGAGCGCCTGATTCCATCATCCTGCTTCATATTTCATCTCGATGTTCAAGAATTGCAGCTCTGTTATACATGTATCTCATCTACAAGTTGAATAAACACAGCCCTGATGCTTCACCGTGGTGCTGTGATCAGGTACAACATGACGAGGCAGGATGTATTTCATCTCTAAGTTCAATCATTACAGCA